GACTTCTTCCTCCCCTTTCGGACTTACCTTTATTGTTATGTCCGCATGGTTTCTAACATATCTCCTTTACCTATTACAATAAGGAGCTCTAGTATTTAATCTTGTCCTACATCCTCCTGTACTTCAGTTTTATGATAAATGTTGCTTCACCCCGTTCCTCGTGAAGTAGTCTGGTCGTTCCGCTCCGACACTCCGCCGGAGCTCCGCTTCTGTCCTCTCTCTCCTTCCGACGATATCCTGCAGTAACGCTCGTCCAATTATCCCCTCTGTGGCGTAGTGTCATCCAGTCCGCCTTTCACCAGCTCCGACTCCGGACTCCGGTTCCGTTCTGTCCGGCCCGCCGCTCCGCTTTGTATCTGTTGATAGTTCGACTGGCCCTATATCCCTCCGTACCATCTTCTGGACGACTTGGATATCGGTGATAGATGATGATGGATTGATGAGAGATGGTGACAGATCGACGTAAAGGGCATTAGGTGAAAGAGCGGACGCGTTGAGACAAACCTCAGGGAGATCCCCAGAGTTAACACAACTCGGATAGGGATCAGAGGTATGATCTGAGTTGCTGTCTAATTTTTTGACTGCTCGGGGGATTCCCGAGGAGTGGAAGAAGACTCTGCGCGTGCAGTGTGCCCGGAGGGGGCGCTGGCACGTTTCTTGCAGTCCTCCGCAGTACATGCAGAGGTTGCTGCGGCGCCGGCGCTCATGCTCCACCTCCTTGATATGTCCGTCAGGGGTAAGGTTCTCGACGTAGGCCGGAGGCTTAGGTTTAGACCCCGAAGCCTTGCCGCCTTTCCCATTGGCATTCCCCGCTCTGGTACATTGATTTCCGGAGTTCTGGGGAGTAGGATTGGAGCTGTTGCAACCAGAAGGTTTGGACGATTGACCACCCTTCTTGTCCTTCTGTTTGCCTGACAATTTCCCAGAACGATCACCGGAGCGGTCTCCGGAGTCCCCTAGGGGACCGGAGCCAGGTCCACAGCCAGGATCGTGTCCCCGCTGACGAGATTTATCGGACTCGCGCTTGTGGTAACGGCTGTCGATGAGCTGAGCCACCTGCTTGACACCGGACAGGGTGTTCACATAAGCGTGATGCAGTCCGGAAGACCTTCATAGAAGGCGTGTCGCAGCACGGAGTCTCCCCATGTGGTTAGAGAGGCGAGAGTGTTGAATGCTGAGACGTAGGTCGCGATCCGGTCGCCGTGTTTCATGCCGCAAGTACGGATGTGATCCTCCGCATCTCCAACCGGATCGTGCGGTCCGAAGTTGAGCATCAGCTCATTGATGAACACTGGGAAATTCCCGTCCCAGGCCGGAATGGCCGTGGGTAGTGTGTGACATGGGTACAGGTAAACCCGCGGTAATACGGGTATGGGTGCCGCGGGTGCGGGTGCGGTGTTGGATTTTTCCAATACCGCGAATACCGCAACCCGTTGTGAGGCTTGTGTTCACGCTGCACCGCTCACACCGCCTCATGGCTTGACGAGACGTGACAGCTCGGAATTCCCACTCACTCAAGATTCACCCAATTAGGAAACGACTTTGCCTCATTCGGATCTACTTCCAACAACTCGTTACTCAATGATTCCAGTGTTTACAACGACTCTTACGAGCACCGAACCTGGCCAGGATGGCAACCAGGCATGCCAGGCACGCTCGGGCTTCACGGGGAGACCTGACCACACGCACCGTTGCGACTTACGAACTTGCGCCATTCCCGAGCTCCCATACAACCTTACAAATGACTCTTGAGTGACCCTCGACGGCAGGATAGCCATGTCTGCGACCAAACGACCATCTACCCACATCCTATCCACCATTATATCCCATTTCACCACCTTCCGATGACTCAGAACATCGCGAATCCCTTACGAACACTCGGAAACGGCACTATTTTGGAGTTTCGACACCTCTGAGTGCTCGTGAAGCTCAACATCTGCGAATATCGGCAGTCTGGGAGCTCAGAAATGCCACAAAAGGACGAAAGAGGTTCGAGGAGCATGTGGAACGAGGCTGTGGACGCCGACGGGACGGACAACGTGACTGGCTTGGAAAAGGTATAAAAGGTGTCGGACGAATTGAGGGTAGTAGGTCAATTACCTGTGGACTTTCGGATTCAGTTCCCAGTCAGCTACCACAAGGAGACAGTTCCAGTCGAGGACTCTAGTCCAACACTGAGTTCTTATCCTGACCTTGTACCTCTATCCCCCAATTACAACCTCGAGTTGACCACCAACACATTTGTTTGTCACCACCGCCAAGGGACATTGTCTCAAGGATTTGCCTTTCATTTATGCACCCGAGAATACTGACTACAGGTTACCGGACACCGCCAACGTCCCTTCTGAGCACTCGTAAACCGCCTTCAGCCCGTCCCGAGCACTCGGGTCTCGCTCCAGACGCACACACACACACACCTTCAACCTTCGACCAACACACACACTCGGATCCAACAAGGCAGACCACCTACAGCCTTATGTTCTATTAGGAACCAACTTTAAAGAGCCCTAGAGGACGAACCAGCCACTTTGTGATCCCACATATTCGGCTAGTGGCACCGCGGTCCTTATCACACCGTACCCGAACCCCAAAAAGTTCCGCAGAAGGGAATTGAACTCATGATCTCAGCAGTTTGAGTAGAAATATGAAGACAAGAGATAACCAAGTAGGCCATAGAACCATTGACACAATCTAAAAAACTGTAAACCTCCTCTAGTATGATGCAATCACATATCTTTGATTGCACTCAATTCTACTGAATATGGGCTGTATCAAGCCAAAGAAATTATTAATGCTCTTTAGTCTGTTATATGCCAAGCCGCGGGGTTAAGGGATAGTGGAACAGTCGGCCGGAGTCGTACAAGGTACTCCAGAATAACCGGGGTGCCGGAGAGTAGGCCGGAGTAACCGGAGTTGACAAAGGGGAACGGCGGAGCTGCTTGACACAACACCACTGAGGTGCAGGGTGAGCGTGTACTGCCAGGTATCGTCTAGAGGAAGAGGAAGGGTCTGGGGGAAGAGAGGAGCGACTGGCACCACTCCGGAAGGGGGGAAGCGACGTTTATTAAACTACTGAAGAACAGGGAGTATGCTAGCTGATTAAATAGTGTTGGATCCTAATTTAGTGTAAAGGAGATAAAGGAGAAACATGTGGACGAGCATATGGTTGAAAGAATAGGAAGTCCATAAGCGGTAAGAGAAGTTCGACCTGTATCAGTATTGATCTTGGGAAATGAAACATGAGGTGATGAAATCTGCCATGAGGCAATGGAAGGCAAGAGGGAACATGTGGAGAGGTCGTTACCCCTTGACACCAGCCACGACTGACCGCGAGAAGTCATTCCAATACTAATACCAGGATTCTGGTTGGCTCCGGGTTTCCGGTTGACTCCGGAAACACCGGAGTGGACCGGAGTGCCCATAGAGAACCGGAGTGGTCTTGGGTGACGAAGACCATCGTCCAGGGGTATGGTTGCATGGATATAACATAGTCTAACTGTATATACCTTAGATCCATCTTTTGAGGCAAACCTAACTCTCTTGGGTTCAATTCTGTCTGCTCCAGTTATTTTTAAATACCCGCGGTTATAAATTGCGGTATTGTGCGGTGTGATGCGGACCGCGGTTCCGTGAGATGTCTGACCAGCGAATTGGTTTCAGTCAGGCAAATACACGAAGGTGATTCGTCCTCTAGAGGGAAATTACTCTGTCGCGGAGAAACGTAGCTACTCGTACGCTACGGAAGGTTTATATAATTGTGGTGGTGGTGGTGGTGAGATGGTACAATCTGTTTCCGTGAGGATTAGGATGTGAGCGCTAGGTTCCTCGTTGGGGGCTAGCCTTCCAAGAAAGCCGCGGTTGGAGGTCGCTCTACACTTGCGCGAAGGAATAGAGCTTCGCAATGTGAGTGTCGATCCGAGCCGGGAGACCTGGGTGATGTGGGATTTCTCTTTTCTCCTTGCCTCATATTATTCGGGCAAGCAGTGTCTTCAAAACGTGGCTTTAACACGGCACAAGCGGGCTATAGCTCTTTTCCTCTGTAGCCCGTTTGTGAACGCGCAACGGATGAGGTTCCGTGACGAGTGTGGCGAAGTTGTGTTCGAATGAAATGGTGGAGTGGTTATGATCTTCACGGTTAAGCCTTCTGTGAAGATGGAGTGGTGCCCTGCGCACGGATCTGCGTTTGAGCCTCCAAGACAAGAGTTGCATGCAGCTAAGTAGGGGCTGCTGGCTGTTTAGAAGTACGCACTTTTTTTTACGGAGTCGAAGGGACCTTTAGAAAGGGTTCCTTGGTGAACCTTCAATCCAAGTGACCTATTTAGCTAGCCCCACGGAGGACGGTGTAGCCTGAGCTAGTATGTGTATATGAGAGACAACTCTGCCCCGTAAGGCTGGGGGGAGGGTAGCTTAGGTGTGAGCAGTGGGGATAACAAGATAATTTCCTTGGTAAATACATCTGGCTTTTATACGTATTCCCGCCCGATTACCGCGTGTGAACTTCTCCGTGAAGCCTCCGAGTATTGTCCTCCCTGTAGATCCTCACATGCCCTCCACTAAGTTCGACTCCCATGTTCTCCGTTAAGTTTGACGCACACACCTTCCGTTAGGCTTGACGGAAAGCTGTCCCCACGACCTTTACGTTTGCCCGATCCTGTCGCTTCACATGTCCCGTAGCGATTCGTAAGTCGTCCGTGAATATGTCCATGTGGCGCTCCTTGATACCTTGCCTCTCGTGAAGTCCGATTGCTGGTTATTCAAGGTATAGGCCTGGTGGCGTAACTGGTAACACGCACATTTACTGTACGCCATGGCAACACATAATTAGTTAAATGCGAGACCCTCGTTCGATTCGAGGTCAGGCCGTGTTTGCAAGTCCAGGTGACTTTTTCCCGCGCTCCGTAGGTGTGTTTTTCCATCACAGAGAGAGCGTGCACAAGTATTTGACTGTGAGTGTTGATTCTGTGGGTGTCGATTATTGTTTCATGGGTGTTTGTAGTATAGGCCCAATGGCGTAACTGGTAACGCGCACATTTGCAGTACTGTGAAAAGTCACAGTGACTCGTAATCTACAAATGCGAGAACCTTGTTCGATTTGAGGTCGGGCCCTGCTAGCAATTTTGCTACCCCTTTTCCGCAGGCGTTCCGTAGTGCGTGTGTTCCGTTGGAGTGCACTACTTTTTCGTCTGCACAGAGAGGGAAAAACCTCCGTGACAGCCGTAGCATGCCGCGTAGTCTGAGGCTTATCGTGATTTCCTCTGTGAGTCGTTTCGTTGCTGATTTCTGCCGTGTTTGAGCGTATCACAAAGTGATAGCTCACAGCGGGTACGGGTACGGTGTGACCTCGTGACACCCGCGGTGTCACCCGTGTCACACCCTAGCCCTCTGCCATCTCCGCCTCCGCCCCGCAACATCCAGGCTTGCTTCCACCTCCGTTGCCACCGGGTGGCGTGGAGTGGGGGCAGCTAGGAGTTTCCCGTCGCTCCAAATGTTCAGAGCGAACGGCGGGATCCACTTCTGGTATGTTGGGAAGTGGAGTCCGAGTTGGGACAGGGGGGCTGCCTCCAATTGGTCCAGTGTCGGGACCAGCGGAGTCAGAGCCACCTGGGGACCCGGAATAGGAGACCCAGGTGTCAAGATATGTCCAGGAGCATGACGAGGATGAGGTGAGCGGGGATATAAGATGGGGTGTTCCGGAGTCCGGGGCACTTCGACTAGGCCCAGAGTGTTTAGCGGAACAAGCATAGGATGGGTAGCAGAGGGCCGACGCATAGTGATGTTTGGGGGGAGAGGAGTGGAACGGTATGGACCAGGAGCATGAGCATAGGAGCCAGCCATAGCTCGTTGCAGTGGGGAAAGCGGAATGATGGTGTCATAGAGTCGTGATATACGTCGATTAGGATCACTACCTTCGGGTTGCTGTTCTCCCAAAGGGTTATTGGGGTTGCCATAGTGAGACATGAGATCCAAGAAGTAGGTGAGATTTATTGTACTGTTATATCTGAGCTATGGATATGAAGGCCGACCGACCAGTCAGACAGAGTTCTGAGATACCGGAGTGCCAGAGTCAGGGGAAGTGATGACTGGAGGATCAGATGACACTACACCACTAGGGAGCAGGGTGAACATTACTACCCTTGGCCTTGGAGTACAAGAGTGACGGGACAGAGGTCCAGGGGAGTTCCGCAGCGATAACTCAGATTACTTGCAAGGAGTGTGAAGCAACATTTATAATAAATCTGAATTGTAATACGGAAAGGAGATATGTAAGGTTCCATGTGGAAGTAACAATAAGGTTATATCCGAAAGGGGTGGAAGAAGTAGTTTGGACAATAACACTGGTTGGGAAATTCAAGTTTTTCAGTAGAATTTTTGGTAAAAAATGTTGTTTGTTTTTCAGACATTTTTCACTGAAAATAGTGGTGAAAAATTTGAACTTTTTTCACCACTTTCAAACTTCTTTTCAAATTTTTCACCTTGGGCTGAAGAAATGGTGAAAATGTTTTAAGTTTTTCAGTTACTTTTTCAGTGAAAAATGTCTGAAAAACAAACAACATTTTTCACCAAAAATTCTACTGAAAAACTTGAATTTCCCAACCAGTGTAAGTAAGAAGTCCTGAATGAGGTGGACAATAAGCATGTTGCCTTGTGGCACAATGTGGACTTCTGAAGGAAGTCCACCGCGCTCTGTCATTCTGTCCCGCTCCAACAGGAGGGAGTGTCAGAGCAACTTCGAAGATGTTGTTATCAGGTTGAGTTGCTGAGCGGAGGTTGACTTCATGCCTGTGGTGGGGGTCAATTTCAGCAGAAACATAGTTGGTTGGTGAGTCAAGCAAACCTCTTGGCAGCAATGAGGTTATATCCTTTGAGGGCAGTGAAGGACGTGTCGGTCCAGTAGTCAGTGAATGGCTTGACCATGACCATAACATCCTATGCAGTAATGAGCAGGAGTCAGAAAGGGGAGTGGCCATTACTTACACCCCACTTCAGGAATCTTTTCTCCAGCAAGTACTTCTCAGTGGAAGGACCACACGCACCGGGACGTACACCCGTCATGAAGATGGTCTTGAGGAAGAGATCAGTTTGAAGAGTCTATTAATCCATGTTCAGCTAACTGGCACGTGCAATTTGAGCCCATATGAACCCATTCCAAGTCTTCGCAGTTTGCCCACAGTGTATCTAGCATGAGGCGAATCTCATTCTGTCCACAGAATTGCTTGCAGTCTTGGAGGAGCTCGAGCTTAATCCGCACGGTAAGATGGCCTTTATGTCTGCAGAGCTGCACATATAATCTGTCATTCAATATCTTTTGACCAGTCGACGACATATTTTGAAACCTATTGATTCATTAGTGTACGGGCTTATGACTCAAGAGACAGCAGACATACAATTCACAAGATACTCATAAACCAAGACTTGAGCGTGGAATATGTTACATGTGTGGCACCATGGGCAAGGCGTTTGGGGCTCAGTTTGGTGCCTTCTACCTTTACTGACATCCATGTCTTGAGCAAAGCTGGAAAGCTATCAGTGACAAGAGAGGCAAAAGGCGGCTCAAACTAGGCTTACTTGTCAGTTATTTTACCGGGAAAGACCATGGGCCCCCAGTATTACCCTTGCGAGTTGAAAATTCTTTGATCTCCTCTTTCGTTTCTTCCCTGCGGTTGATAGTGCTGTGACAGTTGAGTTGAGTTGAGTCAGAAATGAAAGAGTACGAAACGAGTAGACGAGTCCAAGATAATACACAAAAGTCCAAGAAACAAGGTAATGGTCGTACACAAGAAAGGTGCGATAAACCCCAGATGCGCGTTGTTTGGGTCTGTTATCAATTGTTCCCATGGTCAGGCTTTTGAGGATTTCGCGCACAAAAGGCCAAGAAAAAAAATTGAGACATTGTGGTCAGTGTACATGCAGCCAGTGGGACCATCTAGGTCTATAACAAGATTAAAAGGGTAACACAATATAAGTTTCAGTGCCCAGCATCCTCTTTGTCGTGTGCAGCGTCACCTTGTGCATCCCCTGCCGTGTCGCCTTGCAAATCGTCATCTTCTGCAGCTTCAGGTATGACAGGGTTGACCCACTCACATTGGCAGCCCTGGCCAGTGCCTCCATAGTCTCGTTGCCAGCGGCGCCTGTGGTGGGTGCAGCTGCTGTGGCATTCAGGTTAAGGGGCAAGCGTAATGGGGTACCCATTAGCCACAAGGACTTGAAGGACTCAGGGAGTGGTGGCAGGTCGGCAGGAGGGGGAGCTCAAGCTCTGGGAGGACTTGATTTTTGCCAAGAATCCTCTGCGCTTTGAGCTCCGTTTCCAGTTGCAGGTTATGGAGTTGGAGTTGGGTGAGGAGGGGTGCCATGAGGGCCATGCAGGCTATGAACATGTCAGCCTGCGTCTGCAGCATCAAAATCTTCTGTGCAGCGACAGCAAGGTCGAGTTGGGCGTGCCACTGGGCTTCCGTGGCATCAGCAGCAACTTTTAGATTCGGCTGTTCTTTTGCGTTGGAAATGCATCAGCACAAGGAGCCAAGGACTTACAGACAACGTGGGCCCAGACTTTGACTTGGGTTCCGTAACGGTCGCTGCCTTTTTGCGGCCACCCTTTGTAGTGTTGGATGTGATAGGTAGAACAGTACAATGAAACGTACTGGTTTTTTGGCCTGTAGAAGGATTAAGTGTGAGGTCAAAGACGACAAAAAACGAGTACTACCTGACCATCATCTGAGTCATTGGACCTAGCTGTCTTTTTAGCCTTCTGCACCGGATGAATGAGCTGGGGTCTTGTGCATAGAGATGATTCTACTTACCTTGGCTCTGGGTTTCATGGTGGTAATGGAGGCTTTCTACAGCCCTCAGTCAGTGTTAATTTGATGGTATAGTAGATGCTGGCAATACCTTGCCAGGCTGCTTATCTTCCTTAGGCTTGTCCTTTCCCTGGAAAGTTGAGCAAAAGTTGAGCAAAATGTCGAGCAAATTTTTTTTTTTTTTTGATGTGGTGGACTTGGGAGCAGGTGTCAATTCCTGTGGTAATAAATGAGAAATGAGCTATGCACTTTCCAGCCAGGCTAATACCTTGGCCAGTGTGGTCAACACAGGTGCCTATTGTTGTTGTTGAGCTGAGGAAAATGAATATTAAAGACACTTACTTTGGCATGGAGCAAGTATTTGCTGCCATATCTCTAGTTCAAAAGCAGATGCAGAAATACAAGACTGAAAAGAAGCAAGTAACGTCTTGCCAGTTGTGACAAGGAAGCGAGGAAGCACGACACGGTCTCATGACGGCGTAGCGTAATCACGTTTAGTCTTGTGCGCGGTGTTTGTGCATGCCAGACCATTAGACAGGTTGGGAAATAAGAAAAGCACCCAACCAGAGCTTGAAATCCATTTCGGGCTGAGCAGGTGGTGAAATGTTGCCCAGAAAGTAGTGTTGCATGGTTCAAGAAAAGCCTCTGAGATCAAATTGTGCTGCATCGAGATCCCGAACATGGCTAAATTTTTGTCTGCATTATGTCCGACATGCTTCATGGTGGCAACAGCGGTGACAATGGTGTTGAAGGAGAGGGGCAGTGAGCGTTGGGGGCAAGCAAGGCATTTATCTCACTGTTGAATATAAAAAGTTAAGTACACAAACACAAAGCAACAAGGTAATTTACAGGCATGCTAAACTAGATTCTTGCAGTGGTTTTCTACCATTCACGATGTGCTTTGGCCTGCTGATGAGCAGCATTCCGCTCCCTCTCCTTAGGACTCAACTTCTTGTTGGCCACATTCCTCCGCTGTTGTTGAGCAATCTCTATACTAGAAATTTCAATCCACCCAGCATTAACCGGTTTCATTGGGCATCAGCAAGTTGGGCCTAGGCTTGGCATGAGTTTCAACTAATTGTGTTCATCAGCAAAATTCACTTACAGTCTACGACATGTTCAATGCCTTGGGTAACATGCCAGCATTGGAAGCAGGACTGAATTATCTGTGAGATTCTCATGCGCAAGAAGTGAATGAAGCAAAAGACGCACTAGGTGATATGCGATATATCTGCAAGAGCAGGGTAATACAATGTGGGCTCCACCTGCCTTATTACAGATCTAGGGTGCTATGAGAAAGAACGATGTTGT